TACCGCACCCCAATGGCTTCAGAAACCAGTGATCAACCTCTGTGTATGGTAGTAGATCGTTCAATAGAAACCCAGTCCTCTGCTCCTGCCACCTGCGGCGCCGTAGCACGCTATTCCCCTACTACCTGCGGCTCTCTGAGCTGCAACTAACAGATATGGCTACTATCTATCCTGATTAATAGAGATAAAGAATAGGAAGTAAAATATATCTTAGTAGAAAAATATATCTAGAATAGAGAAATACTATATCTAGTCTAATAGACAGGATATATACCCGTAAATAATATCTGGAAACTATTGGAGTATATACAAGAAACTCAAGCATTGGATAAATATTAGTATATAAAAGAGAAGACTGACTATATCTAGAGTGCTGATATCTATAGTGGGCCTATAAAACTATGACATTGCGGACACAGTTTACCAAGTAGCGGGAATAAATTATAAAAAAAAAAAATAAACTATAGAAATATCTAAAAGCTGCACCCTACCTATTCTAATTATAATTAAAAGACAAAAATACTCTATCTTCTATATCTATAGATTAGCTCCAGTAGAGTCTGCTTAGCGGAAGAGAACTTATCTGAAGGAAGAAATGAATACACCCAGTATACACTGGTAAAGAGAGCAGGGACTTGTAGGGAATAAAGTGGAAGAAGCTAGTGATCCTGAATCTAGGCTACCACTGCCGCGGCGGGCTATACTGGATGCTATATATACAGAATAAACAGTGGCATTAAGGATATGAACTGTAGCTTTAAGAGCCTCCTTTGTCATAATAGCAGACAGAGACTGCTTAAAGTAATAATATACCACCAACACCGTGTCCGCCTGTATAATGGCCTTAGTAGACATCTACTGCATATATCAGTATAACCCAGTATTGGGGATCAGGAGATATCACTTGCCAGTATATAACAGTGGTAATCACTTGTATAATAGAAATAGATATAACAGTCCTTACAGATTATATAGGCAATACTTATTCCTGATAGAGCTGAACTGCAGTGCTGGAGACACTGCAGGTATTACTTTCTACTATTTTCAGATAAGGGAATATCTGTATTGTCTTCTGAAGATAAGGAGGCCTTATTCTCTGAAGAGAGAGAGAGCAAGAGATCTTCTCTGCTTAAGAAAGCTAAAAGTATGATATTATCTCTACTAAAGAAATCCAGTAGCGTAACTACTTTCTCTAAAGAGAGGACCGGGAACAGACTTAGTAAAAAGCCTCTAAAAGAAAAAGATACAGGAGAAGATATAGTAGAGACTAAAGCCTGCTAGTAATATAGACAACAGATATGGTTTTTCTTCTTATGTCTATTGATACAGCAGAGTATATAAGCGGCAGTAGATCAATATTTGGCTATCTATTAAATATACTAGTGGAATCAGTATACACGCAAGTCTATAAATAAAGCTAAGAAGGAAGTAGAAAAGAGCTTAATATAGAATATAATTATTAGCAGAATAATAGATATAACAGTGCTATACCTGATAGCTTAGAAGATCTTAAAATCACAAGATATAGGCAATACAATAAGTAGAATAGGATACTGCAATCAGAATAACCTGAACACGCGGCATGATACAGAAAATAAGGCGCTTACTATAGATATAGAAGAGATTAGTAATTAAGAAAAGAAATAAGAAATAGTATATAAGAAATCACTATATAGCAGATAATATCCAATACAAGCAGCGCCTAGGCAACAGAATCAGTGAATAATATAATATAACTATAATATAATATTGCTGCCTGATATCAAGCAAGTGAATAGAACTGAGCATTTTATACCATAGAGTGCATGGCAGGAATCAGGATCAGACCCTGTACAACACAACTAATATTCCTATACTTCCTGAAATAGAAAATGTGAGGCTATCCCCAAGCATGAAATCATACACTGCTCAGAACTACTGAATGCCTACACCACGCGCCCGTAATCAACCCCGCATAAGCCAGGATTCTACACTTGCATAAATGAGCACCTACAAAGCCCTGAGGCCAGGGCTTTCTGAGAGAGGGAGGTAATGTTAGGCACACCTTACAGCGCCTGTAGGTGATATAGTAGCACATGCGGGTCACATGCTACCCGCTGCGGTAAAATCTTTACCGCACCCCAATGGCTTCAGAAACCAGTGATCAACCTCTGTGTATAGTAGTAGATCGTCCAATAGAAACCCAGTCCTCTGCTCCTGCCACCTGCGGCGCCGTAGCACGCTATTCCCCTACTACCTGCGGCTCTCAGAGCTGCAATTAACACTAGGATCCTGCAGAACTCAGTCCAGAATTCTGATATGAACTGCTCTCCTTAATCTGAAATAATAGAGTCTGGTACTTTCTTCTAACAGTAGATATTCTTAATATATATCATTGCTATATTACAGGTACTAGAGATCTTATAGCACAGTATTGACACAGATCTTTTTAATAAACAGTTAATAATAATAAAGATACTATCAAATTCCTTTTAGTTCTTTAGTATAGAATAAAAGTCTATAGATATATACTACCAGGGCCATAATGGAACTGATAGAGGCTACAGTAACCCAGGAGATAGATCTCAAGATATTTAGCAGTACCAGTAGATCTTACAGTTATGTAGATATTAGTCAATATCTTTAAATATTCCTGGCTAGTAGTATCTTGCTTATATAAGCTAGTGTATTTTATTCCTTTCAGGATATACAGTTAACTTCTAATAATAAGCTTTATCTAGCAGCTTTATCCTTAGTTCACTCTCCTTAGGGATCATTAATTATCCTCTATATAATAGTAAGTTGCCCTGTATATTCTAGGGCTCTACTAAGACTTGAGCTCTTTCCTGTATTTCTTATAAAGAGAGATTCTTCTGGTTAGCCTTCAGGGCCTTATCTACTACTTATATCTCTAGCTATAGAAGAATAACTGTTATAGTAGTATATCTCTCTTATTCAGCTTATATTCTCTTATCCAGGTATTCTGAGTGCAAAAGAATCTACATTTAGTAAAGGTCCTGACTGGTCTCTAACTATTCTACCAGGTATTCCTGCCTTGACAGCATGTCTGCTAGTATATTAAGTTTTTCTGGTTAATACTGAATTATAAAGTTGAAGTCTGTGAGAAATTTATACTATCTTGACTATCTAGTATTTAGATATTGTTTAGTTATAAAATATTTAAGAGCTTAGTAGTCAGTATATATAAGAAATAATTTAATTCTCTAGAGCTCTATAAGTTCAGCCTGTTACTCTTCTAGTACTCTAATAATTACTAACAGTTCTTTATTATAGATTTTATAGTTATACTCTATCGGGGTTAAAGTCTTTAAATAAAATATAACAGGGTACTAATCCTTCTTCTATTTCTGTATCAAGATATCCACAGCAACTCTGTTAGAGATATTAGTATTAACTTATATCTCTTGGTTAGGATTATAGTATCTTAATACAGGAGTTTTAGTAAGCTTCTGCTTTAGCTGATTAAAGGTCTCTCTATAGTAAGAATCCTAATAGAAAACTGTATTCTTCTGTATCAGTAAGTTTAGCAGTCTCGTGATCCGGCTGTAGTCTTTTATAAACTTCTGATAAAAGTTATAGAAGCCTAAGAAGGATTATATCCCCCTTACTATACTTAGTATATCCCAGTTCTTCACAATACTAATCTTCTCTGGGTCTATCTTAATACTATCAGTACTAATAATAAAATCCAGAAATTATATATATTTTATGTGGAATTTATATTTCTTAATACTGGCCTAGAGATCTGTCTTTCTTAGATATTACAGGACTTTCTTAACATATTTCTAGTGCTGCAACTCATTATCACTAAAGATCAAGAGATTATCAATAAAAACTGTTATAAAATTATCTAGAAACTCTATAAAAATATTATTTATAAATTGCTAGAAGATTACTGGTCTATTAATTAAGCTAAATAGTATGACTTGATACTTGTATATTCTATAACAGATCCTGAATATAGTAAGGTCCTCTGCTTCTAGTATTATCTGTATTCAGTGAAATCCTTAGTATATATTCAGTTTTATATATATCTTTCCCCGGCTGATCCTGTCTAGAAGTTCTTTTACTAACAGTAGCAGGTAACAGTCCTTCTTGGTAATAGTATTTAGTTTCTAGTAATCTATATAGAAATATAATCCTTCACCTGGCTTCTTCGCTATCAGGATAGAAGATATAAATAGAGCAGTGGATAGTATAATAAATCTCTTTTTAAGGTTCTCTATAAGATATATCTTCGCGGCTTTAAGCTCTTCCTGGAATATCTTATAGAGAGAAGAGTAGTCCAGAGAATTAGAGGCCTTAAGCTTAATATAGTGGTCACAGTCCCAGGATAGAGACAGTATATCAGATTCTTTTTTTAAAAAGATATTACTTTAAGAGTAGTAATAAATAGATAGTTTCTCTTATAATAATACTTCTTTATTATTATCTTTAATTCTTTCTGATAGCCGGTGGACTTCTAGGGCTTTATTAAGCTTATATAGACTGATAATATAGGTCTCTGTTCTCTTCTTCTCTATATACTGGTGAAAGCCTGCAGCACTAATAAGTGCTATATTAGCTTGTAACTGTAGTATCTGTTAAAAAGCTTGCTTAGGCCTGTAGAGCACTGTCACTTTCTGAATACCCTTATTACTAAGGGCATCCTTTATCTTCTGGAGGCTTATACAGTTATCCATCTCTAGTGTCCTTAGAGATTTATATCTACTAATATTCCAAGTCTTTCTCTTATCAGGCTATACTAGTTATCTCTTCTTTATATTTAACCATATATTCTGTTTCTCTAGCTAAGATCTGCTAAGTATAACCGCGTGCTGTCCCAAGTCAGTGATTAAGAATAGGGTACTAGGAAGACTTCAGTTATTAATAGTAAGGTTAAAGAATATCAGGTATATAATTAATTTATAAGTCTTTCTATCATATCCCGAGATATGACAATTGGTATTCAAAGGAATTATAGATATATTTATCTGGTAGCTTAATTTCACTGCATAATATATATTAATAAAGCAATAGGCATTTACTCTACAGTTAACTAAAGCTTATAAGAATTCATGTTTTCTATTCTTAACTAAACTAATAGTAATAGTAAAGCTCTTTTCTCCTAATAACTTACTAAGATCTTGTAAGCGTCTGTTAACTTCCAGGATATATTCTAGGCAGGAGACTTCTTCTAGGACTGAGCATTTTCTGACTCTGTATTCTTGATATTCTTTATCTATTCCAAATTTTTTAACTCGGCGACCTTCTTCTTGTGGGAGCAGTTACTGATGATATAGCCAGGCTTCTTATAGTAGAAACACTTGCCTTCCTTTATTAGCTGGTTGCATGCGGCGTCATCTAACCGGGTGTGTCAAGGATATCTACTATTCAGGGTAGAAGACCTGTCAACTAGGTAAGGATACGTAGGCTAGAAGGGAGAGAGGTCAAAGGCAGGCAGTAGATACTATTCAGACAGGAGACTGATTCTTGATCTCCTCCTACTACTAACTATTCACTAATTTATAGCTGAAGACTCTGTACGTAAAGGGTTCAGATTTCCCGTTGAAAACCAAACTGTTGATGGCCTGATGTTCCTCATCAGTGGCCAATTGTCCATACACCTGGATCAGGGTATCCTGTATAGCTATCAGGCCGAATCACTATTCAATCTGTGATAATTATACTCCCCTTTTTCTGAGCTGACTGTCCCCAGTCAGGGTTTATATATAGGTCATATGTAGTAGGTGACGCGTTGGGGAAGTGTAAGTGGTTCTGTATAGAGACATGAATATCATATGGATAAGATCTAGCAGTGAATGGTGGTCATCTATAATAATAATATTAATATTGATAGAGAATATTAATAAGCTTTTATTCTTTATTTCTCTTTCTAATCTGTTTATTTTCTATAATATCTCTTTTATATCCTGTTAGGTCTTATTCCTTCTTCTTTTAAATTAATCTATATATTATCTTTACTATTCTGATAGTATCATGCCCTGTGATTATTCTATCCTTAAGAATTCTGTAGAGCTGCTCTTTTTATAGTGTATGCATTGTCTTTGTATAGCTGTTAAGGATAATAGCTGAGACCCTAGTAAAGTATTTGAGATTAGATATATCTTTAATAATATTGCTTCAGTATTGTGCAGCTAATATACTGGTAGAAACACTAATTATAACCAGATATATTTTCCTAATAATAATCTATATAATTAATACTGATTTAGTTAGACTTTATAAGAAATACTAGAGAATGCTATAGACCTTTCTCTAGTCCTGGAATAGACTAGAGTAACTTTCTTTGGAGATAAGAACAAGAAGAATAAAGACAGGGATAAGAATAAGAAATACTATATTTTTCTAATTAAGATTAAGAAGTAGATTACCAGTGCTATAATTATATTAACTTATATTTTTAATACTTCTGAATAAGCTTATCACCATAAATTCTGATTAACTGTATATAAGAAAGATAAAGCTATAGATAAATAGATTCTGATTTAGACTAGACTTACTAATATCTGGATAGAGAATTATAGCTAATTATAATACTAATATATCTCAGCATTACTCTTATCTTTTAATAGAATTAGATATCATGCCTCTAGTAAGTACTATAGTATATAGAGAATACTATTAGTCTTCTTTCTTATATCTATTACTTTATGATACTAGGTTTTTAATCTGGTAGATTAATCTCTATCAGTTTCTTGCTACTATTCAGGACATTGTCTATAAGTATTTCTATACTAATAATATTAACAATGATTTCAAGAATAAATAGACTGGGATCTATAATAGCTTTTCCTTGGCTTTAAGTAAGATTTAGGAGATAGATTAAGTATATATATATATTTTAATAGTGATAGAAATTATTTTCAGTAGATATATTATTAGTATTTCTACTTATAATTATAAATTTTCTTTTAGATATTTACTATATTTTCTTTAGAAATCTATTAATTATATTCTAAGGACTACTCTATCTATTTAATTAAGAATTAGATTTCTCTATTAAAAATTTACTTTTCTTTAACTTCTTTAATTTTCTATTTATCTTTATTATTAAGATCTGGTATTAGTAGTAAATCAGCACTATTACCTTTATATTAGATCTAAGGCTTTAATAAAGAGATATAAAATATATTATAAATTCTACTATATTTTTTAAATAGATAAAGCCAGTAGACTTACTTTCTAATAATATCAAGTACTTAAAATAGTCTGATATATTTAGATATAAGTTTT